AGGCATGCCCACTGATGAGAGGCATGCCCACTGATGAGAGGCATGCCCACTGATGAGAGGCATGCCCACTGGAGGCATGGTCACTGATGAGAGGCATGCCCACTGATGAGAGGCATGCCCACTGATGAGAGGCATGCTCACTGATGAGAGGCATGCTCACTGATGAGAGGCATGCCCACTGATGAGAGGCATGCCCACTGATGAGAGGCATGCCCACTGATGAGAGGCATGCCCACTGATGAGAGGCATGCTCACTGATGAGAGGCATGCCCACTGATGAGAGGCATGCCCACTGATGAGAGGCATGCCCACTGATGAGAGGCATGCCCACTGATGAGAGGCATGCCCACTGATGAGAGGCATGCCCACTGATGAGGGGCATGCCCACTGATGAGAGGCATGCCCACTGATGAGAGGCATGCCCACTGATGAGAGGCATGCTCACTGATGAGAGGCATGCTCACTGATGAGAGGCATGCCCACTGATGAGAGGCATGCCCACTGATGAGAGGCATGCCCACTGATGAGAGGCATGCCCACTGATGAGAGGCATGCCCACTGATGAGAGGCATGCCCACTGATGAGAGGCATGCCCACTGATGAGAGGCATGCTCACTGATGAGAGGCATGCCCACTGATGAGAGGCATGCCCACTGATGAGAGGCATGCTCACTGATGAGAGGCATGCCCACTGATGAGAGGCATGCCCACTGATGAGAGGCATGCCCACTGATGAGAGGCATGCCCACTGATGCGAGGCATGCCCGCTGATGAGGGGCATGCCCACTGATGCGAGGCATGCCCACTGATGAGAGGCATGCCCACTGATGAGAGGCATGCCCACTGATGAGAGGCATGCCCACTGATGAGAGGCATGCCCACTGATGAGAGGCATGCCCACTGATGAGAGGCATGCCCACTGATGAGAGGCATGCCCACTGATGAGAGGCATGCCCACTGATGAGAGGCATGCCCACTGATGAGAGGCATGCCCACTGATGAGAGGCATGCCCGCTGATGAGACGCATGCCCACTGATGAGAGGCATGCCCGCTGATGAGAGGCATGCCCACTGATGAGAGGCATGCCCACTGATGAGAGGCATGCCCACTGATGAGAGGCATGCCCACTGATGAGAGGCATGCTCACTGATGAGAGGCATGCCCACTGATGAGAGGCATGCCCACTGATGAGAGGCATGCCCACTGATGAGAGGCATGCCCACTGATGAGAGGCATGCCCACTGATGAGAGGCATGCCCACTGATGAGGGGCATGCCCACTGATGAGAGGCATGCCCACTTATGAGAGGCATGCCCACTGATGAGGGGCATGCCCACTGATGAGAGGCATGCCCACTGATGAGAGGCATGCCCACTGATGAGAGGCATGCCCACTGATGAGAGGCATGCCCACTGATGAGAGGCATGCCCACTGATGAGAGGCATGCCCACTGATGAGAGGCATGCCCACTGATGAGAGGCATGCCCACTGATGAGAGGCATGCCCACTGATGAGAGGCATGCTCACTGATGAGAGGCATGCCCACTGATGAGAGGCATGCTCACTGATGAGAGGCATGCCCACTGATGAGAGGCATGCCCACTGATGAGAGGCATGCTCACTGATGAGAGGCATGCCCACTGATGAGAGGCATGCCCACTGATGAGAGGCATGCCCACTGATGAGAGGCATGCCCACTGATGAGAGGCATGCCCACTGATGAGGGGCATGCCCACTGATGAGAGGCATGCCCACTGATGAGAGGCATGCCCACTGATGAGAGGCATACCCACTGATGAGAGGCATGCCCACTGATGAGAGGCATGCCCACTGATGAGAGGCATGCCCACTGATGAGAGGCATGCCCACTGATGAGAGGCATGCCCACTGGCGGCATGCCCACTGATGAGAGGCATGCTCACTGATGAGAGGCATGCCCACTGATGAGAGGCATGCCCACTGATGAGAGGCATGCCCACTGATGAGAGGCATGCCCACTGATGAGAGGCATGCCCACTGATGAGAGGCATGCCCACTGATGAGAGGCATGCCCACTCATGAGAGGCATGCCCACTGATGAGAGGCATGCCCACTAATGAGAGGCATGCCCACTGATGAGAGGCATGCCCACTGATGAGAGGCATGCCCACTGATGAGAGGCATGCCCACTGATGCGAGGCATGCCCACTGATGAGAGGCATGCCCACTGATGAGAGGCATGCCCACTGATGAGAGGCATGCCCACTGATGAGAGGCATGCCCACTGATGAGAGGCATGCCCACTGATGAGAGGCATGCCCACTGATGAGAGGCATGCCCACTGATGAGAGGCATGCCCACTGATGAGAGGCATGCTCACTGATGAGAGGCATGCCCACTGATGAGAGGCATGCCCACTGATGAGAGGCATGCCCACTGATGAGAGGCATGCCCACTGATGAGAGGCATGCCCACTGATGAGAGGCATGCCCACTGATGAGAGGCATGCCCACTGATGAGAGGCATGCCCACTGATGAGAGGCATGCCCACTGATGAGAGGCATGCCCACTGATGAGAGGCATGCTCACTGATGAGAGGCATGCTCACTGATGAGAGGCATGCCCACTGATGAGAGGCATGCTCACTGATGAGAGGCATGCCCACTGATGAGAGGCATGCCCACTGATGAGAGGCATACTGATGAGAGGCATGCCCACTGATGAGAGGCATGCCCACTGATGAGAGGCATGCTCACTGATGAGAGGCATGCCCACTGATGAGAGGCATGCCCACTGATGAGGGGCATGCCCACTGATGAGGGGCATGCCCACTGACGAGAGGCATGCCCACTGATGAGAGGCAAGCCCACTGATGAGAGGCATGCCCACTGATGAGAGGCATGCCCACAGATGAGAGGCATGCCCACTGATGAGAGGCATGCCCACTGATGAGAGGCATGCCCACTGATGAGAGGCATGCTCACTGATGAGAGGCATGCCCACTGATGAGAGGCATGCTCACTGATGAGAGGCATGCCCACTGATGAGAGGCATGCCCACTGATGAGAGGCATGCCCACTGATAAGAGGCATGCCCACTGATGAGAGGCATGCCCACTGATGAGAGGCATGCCCACTGATGAGAGGCATGCTCACTGATGAGAGGCATGCCCACTGATGAGAGGCATGCCCACTGATGAGAGGCATGCCCACTGATGAGAGGCATGCCCACTGACGAGGGGCATGCCCACTGACGAGAGGCATGCCCACTGACGAGAGGCATGCCCACTGACGAGAGGCATGCCCACTGAGGAGAGGCATGCCCACTGATGAGAGGCATGCCCGCTGATGAGAGGCATGCCCGCTGATGAGAGGCATGCCCGCTGATGAGAGGCATGCCCACTGATGAGAGGCATGCCCACTGATGAGAGGCATGCCCACTGATGAGAGGCATGCCCACTGATGAGAGGCATGCCCGCTGATGAGAGGCATGCCCGCTGATGAGAGGCATGCCCGCTGATGAGAGGCATGCCCGCTGATGAGAGGCATGCCCGCTGATGAGAGGCATGCCCACTGATGAGAGGCATGCCCACTGATGAGAGGCATGCCCACTGATGAGAGGCATGCCCACTGATGAGGGGCATGCCCACTGATGAGGGGCATGCCCACTGATGAGGGGCATGCCCACTGATGAGGGGCATGCCCACTGATGAGAGGCATGCCCACTGATGAGAGGCATGCCCGCTGATGAGAGGCATGCCCGCTGATGAGAGGCATGCCCACTGATGAGAGGCATGCCCGCTGATGAGAGGCATGCCCGCTGATGAGAGGCATGCCCACTGATGAGAGGCATGCCCACTGATGAGAGGCATGCCCACTGATGAGAGGCATGCCCACTGATGAGAGGCATGCCCTCTGATGAGAGGCATGCCCACTGATGAGAGGCATGCCCACTGATGAGAGGCATGCCCACTGATGAGAGGCATGCCCACTGATGAGAGGCATGCCCGCTGATGAGAGGCATGCCCGCTGATGAGAGGCATGCCCACTGATGAGAGGCATGCCCGCTGATGAGAGGCATGCCCGCTGATGAGAGGCATGCCCGCTGATGAGAGGCATGCCCACTGATTTGAGGCATGCCCACTGATGAGAGGCATGCCCACTGATGAGAGGCATGCCCACTGATGAGAGGCATGCCCACTGATGAGAGGCATGCCCACTGATGAGAGGCATGCCCACTGATGAGGGGCATGCCCACTGATGAGAGGCATGCCCACTGATGAGAGGCATGCCCACTGATGAGAGGCATGCCCACTGATGAGAGGCATGCCCACTGATGAGAGGCATGCCCACTGATGAGAGGCATGCCCACTGATGAGAGGCATGCCCACTGATGAGAGGCATGCCCACTGATGAGAGGCATGCCCGCTGATGAGAGGCATGCCCGCTGATGAGAGGCATGCCCGCTGATGAGAGGCATGCCCACTGATGAGAGGCATGCCCGCTGATGAGAGGCATGCCCACTGATGAGAGGCATGCCCACTGATGAGAGGCATGCCCACTGATGAGAGGCATGCCCACTGATGAGAGGCATGCCCGCTGATGAGAGGCATGCCCGCTGATGAGAGGCATGCCCGCTGATGAGAGGCATGCCCACTGATGAGAGGCATGCCCGCTGATGAGAGGCATGCCCACTGATGAGAGGCATGCCCACTGATGAGAGGCATGCCCACTGATGAGAGGCATGCCCACTGATGAGAGGCATGCCCGCTGATGAGAGGCATGCCCACTGATGAGAGGCATGCCCGCTGATGAGAGGCATGCCCACTGATGAGAGGCATGCCCACTGATGAGAGGCATGCCCACTGATGAGAGGCATGCCCACTGATGAGAGGCATGCCCGCTGATGAGAGGCATGCCCACTGATGAGAGGCATGCCCACTGCTCAATGCAACCCTCCATCTAGTCCCTTCCTTCTGCATTCCCCATTCACCCCCTTCCACTCCATGTCCCCGACTCACCATGAGCCGCAGCTTGCTGGCGGCAAGGGCTGACTTCCTCTGCAGCTGCAGAGGCATGCGGTCGAACTCTTGTAGCAGCCGCATGTAGTGGGTTGGCACCCCGGTGAAGAAGGTGATTGAGTCGGGCTGCGCGCAGCGACCGTCGGGGTAGCTTTCTCGCCATCGTTGCCACACGGCTGCTGCACTGAAGCGGTGGCTTGGAAGGAACTCGACCTGTCAAGGGCATGGGAGCAAGGGGCGAGAACGAGGGAGGCGCATAGAGAGAGGTGGTGTCTTGGCAGCAGAACCACCGTCGGGGTAGCTCTCCCTCCACCGCTGCCACACCGCTGCTGCACTGAAGCGGTGGCTTGGGAGAAACTCGACCTGTGGGGACGACAAGTGTGTGTGAGGTGAAACTGTTAGCCCCTCTTGCCAGTGCTGCCACATGGCTGCTGCGCTGAAGCGGTGGCTTGGGAGAAACTCGACCTGAAAAGGATGGGATCAAGAGTGTTGGAGAGAGGTGCTGCGGTGACATGTGCCAACAGCAATGGCAGAAGCAGCAGCAGTGGCAGCAGCAGCAGCAGCAGCAGCAGCAGCAGTGGTTGGTAACTAAAGCAGCAACATGCGCGCATGAATGAACACTAACCGTTGCGCCACCAGAGAAAGGGCTGAGCAGAGAAAGGGCTGAGCAGAGAGAGGGCTGAGCAGAGAGAGGGCTGAGCAGAGAGAGGGCTGAGCACACGTGCATACGTGCACACGTGCATACGTGCACACGTGCATACGTGCATATGCAAACACATGTGCATATGCAAACACATGTGCATATGCAAACACATGTGCATATGCAAACACATGTGCATATGCAAACACATGTGCATGCACACACGCACACACTTACTGTTGCACCAGCAGAGAGAGGGCTGAGAAGCGCATTCATGATGCCATGCACATGTGCTGGGTTGACACCCGGCAGAACAGACCGTAGCCAGTCACGAAGCGACGAAGGCCGCAGGGTTATTCAGACGATTCAACGCCGGCGTAGAGGGGAGAGAGGCGATCGAAAGAGAGAGAGGGTGGAGGAGGAAGAAGAACGGAGATGGAGGGAGAAGAAGGGAGAGGAAAGGGGAGGGTGGTAAGGGAGAAGAGAGTAACAGGATAGAAAAGCGAGTGTGTAGGAAGAGGGATGAAGGAGGGGAGTGGGGTCGGGTTTGGGTGGGGTTGTCGGTTAAGGAAAAACAAGGCATGGAAGGCAGGAAAAAGGGCAAGGTCAAGGGTGGTGGAGCATGGCAGGAGAAAGCTGAAGGGTAGAGATGTGTGGGGGGGGAGTTATGGTGCAGGGGCAGCATAAGTGGAAGAGGACACCAGTTAGGCGCCATTGAGTTCGATACGTGGCAGCAACTTAGGATTCAACACCGAAGGGCAGAGATGTGTGTGGAGGGAGTAATGGTGCAGGGGCAGCATGTTGAATGGGGGAGTGGAAATGGCAGGGGTGGGGAGGGGTAACAGGGGGTGTGGGTGCGTGCGGATATGGTGCAGAGGCAGCACGTTGAGAGGAGAGTACAGATGAAAGGGGTGGAGAGGGGTAGCGGGGGGTGTAGATGGTGTATGTGGGTGGATATGGTGCAGAGGCAGCACGTTGAGCACTCGGTCCGATGGAGAGAAGTCCCATGCGTCTACCAGCATGCCGGCCTGCGGGTGAGAGGAGGGAAGGCAATAAGAGGGGAACTAAAAATTCTGTGGCAGTGTCAGACAGTGCAGGGTGGCTGAAAGGAGGATAAAATATCACTTGTTTTGCAGGCCGAAAGCTGGTGGGGCAGAAAGAACTGGAGAAAAGAGAAGAAAGGAGCGTGCGTACCTGTGAAACAGTTTTGAGACAAGTGCGTACCTGTGAAAGAAGTGCAGCTGAGTAACAATACCACATGAAATGTAGCTGCACTGGAGAACCAATCATACCCAAGAAGTCACCTTTTGAGTCGACTCGAAAGTCACCTTTTGAGTCGACTCAAAGTCATGAAATGTAGCTGCACTGGAGAACCCAAGCCAAGAAGTTACTGTACCTGGGAAGCCAGCCCTATGTGTGAGTGCACCACTCCCTTGGGTCGCCCAGTGGTGCCACTTGTGTACACTATCAGGGCAGCTGATAGCGGGGATAGGGGTTAAACAAGAGGGAAATGAGACGGAATTGGAAGGGTTTGACATGGAAGCATGTATCCATTAGAAGATACCAAGCCACATGGTATACATGTATATATTGTACTATACATACACAAATGAGCAATGTCCACAGCAGCACCCAACAGCACCCCACACCACCCCACCTGCGTGCGAGAAGGGCACGTTCTTCAAGGCCTCTATCCCCGCCGCTCCTCCCCCGCGTCTCTTCCTTCCACGCATAACTCGTCTCAAGGCCTGACGGCATACATACATATGCATATGAGCGATGTTCTCAGCACCCCATACCACTCCACCTGCGTGAGAGAAGGGCACGTTCTTCAGGGCTTCGAACCCCGCCTTCTCCTCATCCGCGTCCCTCTCCTCCAAATCCCTGCCCTCCAGCGCGTCAGACGGTGCGAGCACGGATGATGCAAATGCCGAATGTTCACAGCACCCCACAGCACCCCACAGCACCCCTCAGCACCCCACAGCACCCCACAGCGCCCCACAGCACCCCACCTGCATGTGAGAAGGGCACGTTCTTCAAGGCTTCAATGCCCGCCTTCTCCTCATCCGCGTCCCTCTCCTCCAACTCTTTGCCCTCCAGCGGATCAGATGGGACAAACGCCGCCGCCACTTCCGCTGCCAATGGCGCCAAAACCGGGCGGCTGGACTCTGGCCCCACGATTAAACAAGCGCCCTGAGATGAGTGGAGTGGCGGGGGAGGAAAAGTTCAAGGTGGGGAAAAGCAAAGGTGAGACGGCACAACCAAGCAGCCGCCGGACCCTGGCCCCACAACCACACAAGCGCCCTGAGATGAGCGGGATGGCGGGGGGCGGAAAAGTGCAATGTGGGGAAAAGTGCAGGAGAGAGTGGTTTACTTTCTGGGAGGCTTCAGAGCAGAAGTGAAAACCATGCAGCAGGTCTCCGGGCCCACAACCACACAAGCGCCCTGAGATGCGTGGGGTGGCAGGTGGGGAAATGTGCTAATTAGAGGGCCCGGTATGAAGCCGCCGCCAAAACCGGGCGGCAGGTCTTAGGCCCCACAACCGAGGAAGCGCCCTGAGATGAGCGGGTTGGCGGGGAGAGGAAGGGATGCGGGGAGCGGTGAGAGTTATTGTACTCTGGTGAAGCGTGCTTAACACAGATGAGCGGGATGGCGGGGGGAGAAGGGGGAAGAGGAAGGAAGGTATGAGGGGGGGACGGGAGCGGAGGAATGGACAGGTACGGGGCCATTGCATGAGGGGTGGGCAAGTAAGAGTGGGAGTGGTTCTCTCAGCACGCCTAAGTACTACCTTAGTGCTCTTACCGAGTCTTTAAGGACGTATAGTAGCTCTTCTGGAGGGTAGCTTTCACACAGCGGAACCGCCACTCCGCCCGCCGCCCACGCCGCCCACATCGCCGCCACATAGTCCGTCGCCGGCCGCCCAAAAATCGCAATCCGAGGGCCTTCCGCCGCCTCCGCCGCCTCCCCCTCCAGCTGCTGCAGCTCCGTGCGCGCCTCTGCTTCCGCGCGCCCCTGCTTCTCCGCGTCGACACGTGGCAGGCGCTTCCGGAACTCGCGCGCGAGCCGGGCGGCGTGCGCGAGGAGGTCGCGGTACGAATTTGTGCGCCCGCCGCAAACCACGGCGGGGGCGGACAGATGGTCGAAGGCGGACGCGGGGAAGCTCCGCGGAAGCGCGGGCGCGCGGTGCAAGGGGCGCAGGGAGTGCGCGTAGAGGTGCGGATGATTGGAATGGTTTTCCGGGTCGTGGTGCCGGTCGCGGTGCCTACTATAGTACTCCGTACTATGTCTACTATTATAGTATTGTCGGCGCTGGGGGTAAGAGTAGAAATGGTCGTTAAAAGTAGAGTCACAGGACTGCTCCTTAGCGCGGCTCGTAAAATTAGTAGCACCATCGAAAGTGGAATGAAGGCGGCAAGAGGATTGCCTCGAAATGCGATCTCCGGTACTACCGGCGCCGGTGGCGGAGGCAGCATAAGCGGAGGCTCTAAGCAAACGAGCTAGAGCGTTTCCTCCAGCGTTTCCTCCGGGATAACTATCGGATATGAAACTGCTGGTGGCAACGTCGGAGAAACAATTGGTACCTGAATTCGTCAGAAAACCAAGCGAGTCGTTGACGGGACGGACGATGGTCTGGATACAGAAGGAAAATACTCGTGGGTCGGTTCGCAAACGGTTTCGCAAACCCGCGAGAGCACGGTTTCGGCCGTTAAAACCAGGGTGCACATTCAACGCGGTTCGGCTTGAGATGTTGGGAAGGGGGTTTGGAGAAAAACAGTGATTGGCTCACGAGGGGCGACAAAAAAATGATTCCGCTAGAGCTTCGGGCATTTCGTAGGTGGCGGGAGGGGGTGAAATGGCGGGAGTGGGTGAAACCGAATGGCGGGAGGGATGAAACAGATTGGCGGGAGGGGGGGGAAACGAAATTGCGGGGGAGGGGGGAAACAAAATTGCGGGGGAGGGGGGAAACGAATTTCGACGGGGAGGGGGAAATGAAATTGCGGGGGCGTGGGGAAACGAAATTGCGGGGGAGGGGGGAAACGAATTTCGACTTGAAGGGGTTGAAAGCACACCTCGTAACCCACTCAGTCAAGGGATAACCTTTGATGCACATTCAGCTGAATGTGCACCCCGGTTTTAATAAGGCTCATTTTGGTTGAGTACTTTTGACGAGCTTACTCGTTTTCAGCCTTGATAGCTAGACTCGAGTGCAACGAGGAAGGTGTCAAGGCTTGGAGACAACGGCTTAAAGCGACGGTGCACATTTGCCACCCAAAACCCAGAACCCTGGCGAACTGTTACTGCGGATGGAAAGTGTCCGCACGAAATCCTGGTTTTCGCCAGCCAGCACTTTCGCGCTGGCAAGCCTGGTTCAAAAAAAAAACTTCTGAACCCAACACTGCCAAAAGTTGCTCGTCGCTTTAATGCTTGCATTGGACAAGCCACGACGCTTTCGAGAGACAAAGAGATAAGAAAGTTTTGAAGTTAAAACCCGCAGGCCAAGAATTTCAACCTTAGGAAGGTTGGTTGGGAGTGAAAACGCAAAAGGCCTGCGAACCAATAGGAGTGTCCGAAATGTAGGACGAGGTCTAGAATTCGGGAATGATCACGCATTTTTGGGACATCCAACCAACGCTAGGAAGGATGAACCAAATTTGGCCTTCTTGGCTGCTAGAAGAAAATGTCAAAATAAAGCCTATTCTGCCATCGAGTTCATGGCAGCTCAAGGAGACCCTGCGAAAGATGGATGTTTCGCCAAAGCATCAGCAGATTCCTCGTGAGGATCACAAAGTCGCGATGTCAAAAAAAGTAACCATATTATGAAAAGACTCTGTTGACTTTCGCTCAGAGCGTCGGAGGAGCTGCAACTGGTGTTCGCGAAAGCAGTGGAGACGAATTATTTCGTTGCGACGACGTAGGATGCTGTGCAGAATCGACTGCTATTGGACAACGACTGGATGCTGCCCATCGCATGTTGCGCTTATCATGGCACTCGTTGGTGCGTGGAGAGCGTGGTTTGTGGAGATTTGTTGTCACGTCAGCAGCTCAGGGCCAATCAGACAGGGCCTGTACTTCAAAGCCCAAGGTAAGCACGTGCAAGAATCTCAACAAAGCAGAACGGCAGGAAAGTCTATTGTGAAAATAATCACCAACTCTGCCAAGCTGTTACGAGTGCAATTGAGCAAGAGAGCTAGGATTGCGCTATCTAAGCAAAACAATACAATGAGAGAATGCATGAGCGAATAATATATAGCGAAGCTACAGCGGTAACGGTAATGCATTAAAATGGGGTGCGCGACGGGCCTAGCTCCGAGGTTGGGAATTGTCGAGGCGGAGGTCCGGAGAGCGGGTTACCAACCGAACCGTGAGATTCGGTCGCGTCGTGAATAGTGGCGTGAACAGTAGTCGAGTCGAGTGTCGCGAGTGGTAACGGATTACTGTTGGGTGCTATTGGCGGAAACAGTGGTGTACGCGCTGAGCAGGGACGCAAAGTAAGGAAAAGGGAATTTCCTTACACCCCCCCCCCCCCCCCCCCCCCCCTCCTTAAGGATGTTGGGCTGAGAAGGCCCTTAGGATCTTTGCAGGACAGAATTCAAGAGTAGGATGATGTAGTAGCGGAAGCGTTTTAATAAAGACTTGTTGAACCACCTTGTACTGGTTTGTGAGAACAAAATAAGTTAATAATAACAAAAGGATACGAGCTTTTATATGATTACAGGGAATATGAAAAGGTTCTATTTTAACTGTTTTGCTGTTGCGGTTCGATACAGTGCCGACTCGAATAACTGCTCTGTAACGAGTCAGTTATATGTCCTTGCTGTCGCACTGTACATTTCGTCAGGTCAAAGGTCGCTGACCTTTGACTTTCGCGTAACCTCCAGCAGTTGTTCAACCTCCGAGGGTTGACTCACCGATGTTTCGATACGATCTGCTTCGCTCTTGTCTTAGTGTTTCGACACGACAGAGGCGCTTAAATCAGTTGTTTCCAACAAAGGAGACCCTCCTTAGGAAAGCATGTGTACATCCCGGAAATTTTGGCTGCGCAGATATTCGGTGAGGGCGGGGTGGTTTTCAATTCTGTAAAGAGGAACCCAGTTATCTTCGGTGGGCGTGCGATCTTTCCAGCGGATCAGAAACTCGATCCTGCGAGCTCCCCGTGGGTCACAAACTCGGTGGCTCAAGATTTTATCGGGCGTGATGATTGGCTCCGTTGGCGGACGTGTCACGCTGGCGGGGCGATTGCGAGGCAGTTGGCTGGTGGATGGTACGTGTGGGCGAAGCAGACTCACGTGGAATGACAGGCTAATGTACCAGTCAGCATGGAGGAGGAGGTGGGCGGTAACGGGAGTGATCATGTGGTTGATGCGGAATGGCCCACAGTATCGAGGGCGTAGTTTTGGGGTAATGGGTAGGCAGAGGTTTTGGGTGTCAACAAGGACAAGGTCGTCGGGCTGATAAGTGACGGGTCGGCGGTAGCGGTCGGCGTTACGATTAGCGATGACTTTTGACCTTTTAATCGCGTCTGTTGCCCGGGTCCGTGCTGCCTGCAATATCTCTACGAACTGCTGCGCACGTGTCACCAAGTTGTAGGGGTTCGGGGTCATGGGCACTGTGGGGTCTTGTCCTTAGTTCAGTTAAAACGGTGACTGTTGGGTCATGGCGGATGGCGAATTGTTGTATGTGAATTCGATGAGTGGCAGTTGCTGTTCTGTCAGAGGTCCACTGGTGATCCCCGATTGATCCTAGGGAAGGGTTACAGGCACGTTGGCCTGGGGGGTTATGGGCGCACTGACCCGCTACTTAACAAGCCCTTTTATCCCAATGGTCTAGTGGTTGGGATTCTGACATGGTATCAGAGCGAAGGTCTCGGGTTCGAATCCCGGTGTATGCACTTCGGGCATCCCAGTGCGGGGGGGTGTCAGAGGTCCACTGGTGATCCCCGATTGATCCTAGGGAAGGGTTACAGGCACGTTGGCCTGGGGGGTTATGGGCGCACTGACCCGCTACTTAACAAGCCCTTTTATCCCAATGGTCTAGTGGTTGGGATTCTGACATGTTCCCATATGGTTGGGTCGTCGCACGTGGCTCGGATGAGTTGCTCCATGGTCTGGTTTGTCCGTTTTGTCTGTCCGTCGGTCTCGGGGTGGTACGAAGAACTGAACTGCTGGTGAATTTCGTGTCGCGGTCGCTGATGA